AAAAAAAATATTGTTAGCCCTAATAAAGTAGGAATGTGCATCATTAATTAGAAATTAGAATGACGCACTTACTGATTGGGCCAGAGCTTCAAGAACACCCTTCACTGCCCGTTCCACTTCTTTAGGGTCTTCATGGATTGTCTCATCAGACATATGTGCATCTTGTGCTTCTCTTGTTGCTTCTTCGGCGTCTCCAGCCTCTAAGGGAACATCAGTATTCCTTATTGTTTGTTCTGGTACATCTATATTTACAGGAGCAACAATATCTACATCATCAACTTTTCTATGTCTTCTCTTAAATTGGTATTGAGATGCAGGGGGGTCCACTTTCCTCTTTTGCTGATGACCACTACTGCTGGTCTTCTTACTTGTCTCGGATATTATTTTCTCAGAGAACTTCTCAGCCTTGGTTTCAACTAATCGATGCACCAAACTTGTTAGGTTGGACAATGCTTCAACCACAGTATCCATCTTTGCACTCACACCAGTAACAATTTCTTGTATATTTAAGCTGATTTGTTCCCGAGATTTTAGCATCTCATATATCACCCCAAAATCAACACTCTCCGTTGTATGTCTGGGTACTGAGGTTATATCACTAGAAACAATTGTACCCCTGGCATACGCTTTGGGTGAAGATGGTCCTGCAGTACTTTCGTGAGGTGGAAGTTGGCTTGCAGGGATCGGCGGTCCCTGCTCTGGATTTTTGAGGAGTTGTACTTCATCATCAGTTAAAGCTAGGAATCCGTCATTAACCTACAATGAAAATGTATTCATCAGAATCGTTGCAATCACTCTTAGAAAGCTACTAAAAAGATGTGTCAATAAGCTATAATCAAAATTAAATGGTTTACATGATCAAGCCTCTTGAAGGCTTCATGGATCTTCTCAGCACTCAACCCATGATTGGTTGGCCACCTCAACATGCGAGGTCTAGCGTCAGGAGCATCAGGAGTTAGAAGAGAGGTGTGCTCGTAAAACCAAAGCTGGGGATGTTTTAGACCATCAACATGTACGCAGAAGTCAGGAAATCAAACAAACAAATCATAAGAGTGATGTTTCAATGTAAATAACAAATACTTACTGTTAGGAGAAATACAAATCCTTGAATGTAGCCAATTGACTTATTTTGTCTTAATTTCACTGAGGCGATTCTAACTTGATCGATGATCATATCACATATAGCAGCAGGCCAATTAAAAGACAAAAAAGTTTGTACATTTACAGCAAAAGAAGATAGCTCTGCAGGCACATGAAAATTACTTGAAGGAAAAAATAAGTTAGTTAGTAAAAATTTCAAGTATAACTGCTCAAAAGGTGGGGTGGAGGCTCCTTCTGAAAAAAAGTTTGTGAGTTGGTTCTTTATTTTTCTGGCCTCCACATTTGATAGGGGTCCTTTTTTCCATGAAACAGGCTCTCCTCTGTTCGGCATCCCTATCAACAGAGCCACATGGTCAGCATGTAACTTAACCTCCTTTCCACCCATTTTGAAGACACCCCTCTCATTATCCCAGCATCTCAAGATATGTAAAGTCATGACATTGTCCTGGGGATATGGGGGCATGTCAAAGAAGTTGAACACCTTAATTTCCCTTAAATTATTAATGGTCTCCTCTGAAAGAAGATCACGAATTGCATCCAGGGCTCCTCTCACTGCAGATGGACGACATCTACAGTTGAAAATCCTTGCACTCATGATCCTGCAAATTAAAGAAATAATGACAAATTATCAGAACAACAGTCAGAAGAATAATACACGAGTAACATGCCGACATTAGAGAATAATAACCCTACATAGGAGCATGGATAATACAAAGCATAACTAATTACACACCTCTAACAGAGGAGTAGTACATGAAAAATACTTAATTAATAATACCCCTAAACACATCAATAATACATGAATAACACGGCAATAACGCACCAGTAACACACCAGTAACACAGTAAAAACAGAGGAAAGTAATACACGAATAATAGAGGAGCATTGCAAGAATTGTACAACAAACTTATGACATTAATTAATAATAACCCTAAACCCATCAATAATACATGAATAACACGGAAATAACACATCAGTAACACACCAGTAATACAGTTAATGCACAGTAAAATAACACAGTAGAATAACACAGTAGAATAACACATTAATAATACATGAGTAATACAAGAATAACACTAAACCTATATCATTAATTAACAATCACCCTAATAAAGTAGCATATGACATCAATATTACATGAATAACCCGGGAATAACGCATCAGTAACACACCAGTAACACAATTTAAAAACAGAAAAAAAAAATAGATGAATAAAACACAAATAATACAATAATAACACATCTAAACTATGTCATGGAGGTATCTGTGAGTCCAACGAATTTGGTTTTATGCAGTTGTAGAGTAGGGTTTTTCTCTGCTAATGATTGAAATCCATGATGTGTTATTCATGTGGTATTACTGGGTTATTGTTGTGTTTTTTTTGTTTTACTGGTATATTACTGATGTGTGATGCTATTGACGTGTTATTGTTGTGCTATTGTTGCGTTACTGATGTGTTACTCGTATCCCGACTCTGGTTTACGTGCATACCGTGATTTTATCGAACGAGTCGACGCCATGACCTTCGCTTCCGCCGGAAGCTCCGCTTTGCCGAAGGGTTTGGCCGGAAGCTGCGTTGCGCCGGAGATTTTCGCCGGGTTGTGCCGGAGATTTTCGCCGAGGAAGAAGTAGGCCCTAAAATCTCGTAACACTGTGTGAAGTTAAAATGTGATTCGGGAAAAGTAAAAAAGGTTCGGGTAATTCATCGGGCCGGGCCACTTAAATTTAATATTAATTTTAATTTTATTTTGATAAAAAAGTGGGACCGTAGTTTTATTATTGGCTAGGCACTTCCGTACCGAGGGAATAATTCTTCTCGTGTTAGCCTGCCGTTCCGGAACGCCCCAAGCGACCAAATGGCGGCGGCTCCAGTCGGTCCCCTTGTCGCCATGGAAGTCCCCATCGCCACCGGAGAGGGGATCAAGTGGATTGACGTAACTGTCCCCTCATCAGCCCCTTCGCCGCCTCCGGACTCGGTGGTCGGTACCGCTCCCGCGATACGCCATAAAGCTGCATCCTGCAATGTGGTCTCCGGAAATCCACCTGCCTACCTCTTCTGGTAATTCGTCCTCTTCTTCTATGATTTGGATTGCTTCAAATGCGGCTCTTCAGAGCATAGCGTATTAACTGCCTTCTGTGCTTTATTTTTGCTTCAGCTACACTTATTGCACTCGATGCACATTTTTTGTTTTGTTTGAACTGAAGAGCTGCAGCAATTGGTAATAAATACCCTAGTTTGCATCAGAGGATGTAATCTCGATGTTTTTTCCTTGTTTTTTTTTTCTTCACAGGAGAATTCATGAAAACCTCCCGAACATTCTAGAGGTTGTTGAAATCTTTGCCTGTAATGAACATCCGGAGACTGGGCTGCATCTTGTCTTCCATGAAGTGCTCCATAATTTTGCATTTCTGTGTAAAAATGAGGTTCGCACAGTACCTTTTTTTTTTGTCTCCCCAGAACATTGTTTCCTGTGACAGCGTAAATCCCTAAATTTCTAAGTACTTCTTATTTTCCCATCAGGCTGCAGAAGGAGATGCATACTTGCTTTATGTGCTGACCGTTTCGGGAACTGCATATCTCCTTAATTTGAAAAGGCCTTTCAATTTTTTATCTGGTTCAATTTTCCCGCAGAGCGAGCTTATAGAATTTAGCGTGCAAAATAATGCACTGGATGGAAAGGTTACAGCTGTCGCTGCAACACCAGGATGCCTCTTAATTGGGCGTCAGGATGGTTCAGTTGGCTGTTATCAACTTGGAGCTCTTGATCCCAGCAAACCAGGTTCCATTTTAACTCCTATGTTTAATCATTGTTGTTGCTGTTTTTGTTTTTTTTTTGATCAAGGATATTTGATTCTTGATGTATTATAATTTACTATGGCTTTTGTGGAGGTCTCTTGAATATCTTGTTTTCCCAATAATTTTATAGGATTCATGTATGAGCTACGAGATGATGACAGACTTGGCCGCTTATGGAATCTCATGTCTAGGTATGCTTTTTTCAGTGTCTTTTGAAGTTTGACCCATAAGCATTACAATTTCATTCATATAAAGTTGAACTTAATTGAGCTGCTTCCGCGTTGTGCATGGGCCTTAATCATAACAGTTAACCCAAACCACAAAAGAACTATAAATAGTTTTGATGAAGTCAAACAATTAAAAAGAAACTCTTCAAAACAGTAAATGATTGACAAACAACACCTTGGGGGAGGACGACTATGCTAGGTGGTGGCTGGATAGTAGTTGGAGGGACTGGTTGGATGCTGCCATTATAATGGAGAGCTTGAAGGGTTGGTTGACAACCCTGGAAGGTAGAGCTGAGAGCCTGCGGTAGCATGAAGGCATGGGAAAAGGGCGGCGACAGTTGGCTAGAAGGCTGGTGGGCAGGTGGTGGCAAACTGGGAAGGCAGAGAGATGTGACAGCAGCAGGTGGGGTTACTGTTTGGATTGTAGCAACGACATAGAAGGGGGTTTAGAGTTGGCAATAGTAAAACAGGGGAAGGGAGTTGGAAGGATAAATATCTCGGCGAGGTCGAGCTACAGTCGGAGCACCAATCAGACCCTTGGAAACATTCACCTCCTTAGACGAATTACAGTCAAAGCACCTCCTCACTGTCGGATACAACCCCCAGAAGGGAGAAATTTCTCAAAGGCAGCAAACTGAAATATGGAATAATAAAAAACTAACCCTTTGCAAGCAAAACAACACATATATAAACTTGGATAGGAAGGGGAGGCCTTCTCCTTTGGGTAACAAATTAAAATAGCAGGGAGGGGCTGGCAGTAATTAAGTAGACAAGAATCAAAATAGGAAAATGAATGAGCGGTAGAAACGTGAACCGTGAATCCTGCTCAATGGTTTGGCTTGCCAGTCTAGCCTCCTTGTTAGACAGGTTCTTCGCTGAAACACTTGGTTCAACCCCCCTTGAAGTCCCCCATTTGAGAGCCTTGCGTCTGCCTTTGAAGTCCCGCATTTGAGAGCTCGCTTTTTGTGGGAGATTCAAAAGCTTTTGCATGTTCATTGTCGGTGATGGAGCTGTCGTACTTTCCAGTGCTGAGGGCTCTATGACTGTGGTCCGCGAAGCTCCTAGATCCCATTGGCGACTGCACCGACACCTAAGCCACCCGAGGTTCTTTTTGCACTTTTGAGTGAATTGCCACTGAACTAAACTACACGTCCTGCCTTTGTTGCTGAATACTCCCAATGTCAACCATTAATGCTGGTGGTAATATCATGGTCCTAATATCCTGACTTTCCCTCTGTCGTGCCAGTCCCAATTTATGGAGCTTGTTTCTTAGTACTATCATTTGTTGTCATCACCAAAATTGGTCCCGCTGATGCTGTTCTGCTAGTTAAGGCTCCTGTGATCCCGAGCTCTGTCGAATGCAGTGGGAATTGATGGAGGAACGTGTTTCTAAATCCGTCATGCTGAGTTCTCAGGTCAAACAACCATAGTCTCCCCAACAAAAGGTGACCAATATCCATAGGTACCACAACACAACATCTAATCTCGTCATTGACTCCCGATCGAAAACTCAACTACGCATCTCCTGTAAATGCCGACTCGGTTCTCCTTTTTCAACCATGCCAGAGAATATGGTTGGGTGTGCCTTTAAGTCATGAAGCTCAACTCTGCAATTATGCGTAGATGCCACATTCTTACTGCTCCCCCATTGATGATGAGACTGCATATCTTTTCGTTCACCGTGCAATGAGTGTAGAATATGTTGTGGCGAAGCCACTGCAAATCTTTTATATCCTCAGTTCGTAGGATGCGTCGAGCCACAGGTGCCTCTCCTTCATCTGGTGAAAGATACAGTAAACTCTATTCCTCAGCTTTCTCCTCATCGCTAATCTCCTCTACAAAGTCCTGTTCTGTAAAAGAGACGACTCAGCTTGTCGGATAGCTGAAGGCAATCCAAATCTGTGGCATTTAAAGTTTTTTCTGGCGGGGACTGTAGCAAACACGTTAATCTTCTCAGGCTTCTTCTCACTAGGGTGGCTCTATCCTTATTCGAATCAGCTTTCGCAGCTCCCTGAGGTATGCTCCTGCTGGTGTCTCTCACTTTTGGTGGCTGCCTACTCTGTCTCTGCTGCATTTCCACTTTCAGTGCTTAGGTCTGGACACCCCCAAGTGACCAATAAGATTGTAGCTGCACCACATTCCTAATAGTGGACTTTAGGCCCCATTGTACTGGGCTACAATGTGCTACTCCGGCTCAGTTAGCTCACTTTTCATCTGTAAGTGGTCGTGCTTAGGTCTGGACATCCCCAAGTGACCAATAAGATTGTAGCTGCACCACATTCCTAATAGTGGACTTTAGGCCCCATTGTACTGGGCTACAATGTGCTACTCCGGCTCGGTTAGCTCTCTTTTCATCTGTAAGTGGTCGAACCGAGCTATGAACTCCTCCAAAGAAAGATCTCTCTGCTATAGATTGTGGAATTTAAGAAACATGTCCTGGTGACAATGAGGTGGAAGTGGCAAGCTTCTTCAACTTGATAGCACCTAATTTGACATTCTCACCCTTTATACTAAAAAATCCGTTCAATAAATATTAGCCAATCAATAAATTCTTCTGGATCAACACCTCTCTGAAATTCTGGTAGTTCAACTTGATTTTGTAGTCTCTGTCTCCTCCAACTGATGTCGTTTCTTTAGGCCTCCTCTGATATTGGATTCTAAAATGCCGTCATCTTTCATCTTCATCACTGACATTTTTTCTATAAAAGAGGTTGAAATTTTTGTCCCTTTCTCCTCTTTGGCTTTCTCTGTCACCATCGAGGGTAAGTTCCCTTCGGCGTCATCCTTATTGTTCGCCAGTCTCCATTGAAGTCGGTGGATCTCTCGCTGTATCCCTTCTCGGATAGGCTCAGACATGTATCTGTTAGGTGGCATGGTTTGGGTTTGGGATTTGTGAAAGTGGAAATTGTATTTGGTGGTAGGAAAGAAAATTTGTGGTTTATGACGGATGTTAAGAAACTATAGGATAGAGCCAGGGTTAGGTTAGCTCTGATATTAAATGATACCGGAGTTATGTTAGCTCTGATACTAATTGTTATTCTTGAAATTCAAATGGTTACAACAAGACTCTTGAAAACAGTAAATAAATGACAAACAACACTCTAAGGGAGGACGACGGTGCTGGGTGGTGGCTGGGTAGTAGATGGAGGGACTAGTTGGATGCTGCAGGTACAGTCGAGGGCTGGAAGGGTTGGCTGGCAACCCTAGAGGGCATAATCGAGAGTTGGACACAACAAGAAGGCAAGAGAAAGGATGGCGACAACCATCCGAAGGGCAAGTGATTGCAGGCTGGTAAGGTAGGGAAGTGTTACAATAGCTGGTGCGGTTGTTGTTTGGATTGCGATATAAACAGGGAAGGGAGTTTAGGGCTAGCGGCAGGAAAACAGGGGAAGGGAGTTGGAAGGATAAATATCTCCGCGGGATCGAACTACAGCCAGAGCACCGCCCAGACCCTTTGAGACGGTCACCACCTGAGACGAGTTGGAGTCGGAGCACCTTTTCACCGTCGGATACAACCCTCAGAAGGGAGAAATACCTCAAATACAACAAATTGAAATCTAGAATAATAAAAGACTAACACTAACCAAGCAAAACAACACATATATAAGGTAGGATAGGAAGAGGAGGCCTTCCCCTTTGGGCGACAAACAGAAAAGGTAGGGAGGTGTTGGCAGTAAGCTAGAAGGCAAGAATTAAAGTAGGAAAAGGGAGGAGCGTTAGGAACGAGACCGGTGAATCCCGCTCAATAGTTTGGCCGACCGGTCCAACCTGGACTGACCTTTAATGAGCCGCACAGTTCAGCCCCCCCTGGAGTCCAATGTCCGAGAGCTCTGGGTCCACCTTTTTTCTTTGTCTGAGAGCCCCGTGTTAGCGTCACTCATTTGTTTTTGCTTCTGATTGGTACTTCAAGGGGGGTTATCAGATATCTTTGGTAGGAATTTTAATATAGCTAGCTTTTAGGATATATATATATATGTGTGTGTGCGCGCGCGCGCGTGCGTGTGTGTGCCGCAAGCCTTGTCCTGTTGGTGGCGGGGTCACTATATATATATATATATATAATGAAAATGGCTGATTTTATTGAAATAGAAGAGGTACATAAATATTATATGAGAGAACCCAATAGAGTCACCCTACCCATACGATACCAAGTACATTACTACCCAACAAAAGATACAGATAAACTCAAAAAATTTAAAATATGTAGCAAACAAGTAGCTAGGAACAAACCAATTTAGTCCTGCCTCTTCCTCTAGTTTTAAGAGTGGAGTCAGATAATAAACTTTGAATGCCGTGCCATTGCCAGAAGTAACCAAAGTATCATCGATTAAGTTTCTAAGTTGATGTGTGCCCCCAGCTTTCTTCTTCCGCCGAGAAGTGTGAACCTGCCTTTCTTCATCTGAAGACTTGCTCATGTGATTCTTGGTCTGATTATATATTAGAACCGCAGTAGAAGGAAATGCATTCGTTGCCACAACGATAGGTTCCAGTGTATGTGAAGTGTGAGTTGTCACATTTACATATGATGCTTTCTGAATAGTAGCTGAAGGGCTATCCTGACTTTCGGTCCGAATATTATCCCTTATAGTATGGTCAGGAGAAGGGTTCCCACGAGCAGACACCATTTCCTGTCTTGTGGTGATTCCCTCCTCAGCAGGGGCAGACACTATTTCGTGTCTTGTGGTAATTCCCTCCTCAGGTTGATTGTCATTGGGTTTGCTGGAGCGCGTTCAAGCACGTGGGGTGCACTAATAGCATGTTCCTGCTTTTGACTATTGGTTTTCAACTGTGGGTGTAATATGAAACATTTCTTTTACGAGTTTCCAAACATTTTGCAGTGCTCGCAGTAGTAAGACTTTTGTTTCATAATGATTTTTTACCAATAACCATTGTGAGCAGAGCCAATCCAGACATCTTCTACATTTGGTAGTGTAATATCCACTTCGATCAAAATCCTTGCAATAGAGAGCCTTGAGAAATGAACTGTAGGTGTGTCTACCTGCGTGTCTACCTGCGTGTCTACCTGCAAAATTTTTTCAAGGATAGTCCCAATTGCATATAAGATAGGTAGGTCAAAGAATTGAAGCTTGAATTTAGGTAATGCGAACCAAATAGACGCAATTGGGGGTTCTTGACAGGGATTAAAATTAGGGGTCCATTTGAGCAATTTTGTATGATTTCCCTCGATTGTGAAATATCATTGAAAAATTCTACTTACCAAGCTCCAACTAGTTTGAAATCTTAAAAAACTTTCCTGATAATCTCTATCTTAGGGCAACCTAATTGAAACTTTCCAACGAATAAAAGTTTGTATTTTCCTGCACGAGTTGAAATTTTAGCGTCAGAGAAGAATAATGCTGGTTTGCCTGCCTTTTTCTCTACTTTTTTGATGAGATTGCAAACTCCATGTCTTTTAACAGAATCTTAGTACATCTGCGAGAATATCAGACTATCTGTAAGGTGGAAATAGGAGCTGCATTTGTGAACCAATGTAGCATCGAGTTTGACGGGATTATCATCGGCTAGGGTGGCTGCGTAGGAAAGCCTTGAGGCCATTAGAGTGCTTCACACAAGCATAACAGGAAACAACTAGCGCAGCTTGCCAACTGCTGCCGACGAACTAGTCGCAGGTTCGAGCAGATGCAAACGCGTCGTCATCGAACTGAAACTTGAATCGAAGCTGTCGAGCAGGAAAACTGCGCTGACGCGAACAACTGGACCAACTGGACGTCGTCGTCGAAATCGAAGGCGTAGACGTGAACGCGTCGTTGTCGAAATCGAGAGACGCAGACGAACCGTCGGCGTCGAAGAAGGACTCGAGCTGACGAAGCAGAAAGTGAGCGGAAGCGGTAGGGGTGTCCTTTGAGTGACAAAATCAATCACAACGGAAATCACTATTCGAATCCCTAGCATAGCTCTCGTCCACCATAAAAAAAAATTATATGTATATATATATATATATATAATTTATTATTTCAGTCTCTATAAAATCCCACTGACCGTCATCTTTACCAACCAATATCGTCCACTTTCTCTCATCGGAGCAGTTGTCGGTGAAGACGCGAAGGGTACTTTCCCAGATGAGCAAACTACAATCTCTACCACTCTTCTCCCTTCTCATTCTCCTCTCCTCATCTCCCGGTTAGTCTCTCACTAAATCAACTCCCCTGTTTCCTTCCATTTCTCACCAATTTCACCATTCTAATCCGATTCCCTTTCCGATGCAGGTTTCCTCTGCACCACTTTCACCATCACCAACAACTGCGCTTACACAGTCTGGCCGGGCATTCTCTCCGGCGCCGGCACGGCTCCCCTCGACACCACCGGCTTCTCACTCCGCAGCGGCGAATCTCACCCCCTTCAAATCCCCTCCTCCTGGTCCGGCCGCCTCTGGGCTCGCACTCACTGCTCCACCGATCCCATCACCGGTCTCTTCTCCTGTGCTACCGGAGACTGCGGCTCCGGCAAACCGGAATGCTCCGGCGCCGGAGCCTCCCCTCCCGCAACCCTTGCAGAGTTCACGCTCGACGGCAGCAGCGACATGGATTTCTTCGATGTCAGCCTTGTTGATGGCTACAACCTTCCTATGCTCGTTTCCCCCAGCGGCGGCAGTGGTGGGAACTGCACGGCTACCGGCTGCGTTGTAGACATCAATGATCGCTGTCCGTCGGATCTTCGAGTAGTCCTCTCTGATTCCGGCGGGCAGAGGGTGGCTTGCCGAAGCGCTTGCGAGGCCTTTGAAAAGCCGGAGTTTTGTTGCAGTGGCGAGTATGGAAATCCTAACACTTGCAAGCCGTCATCTTACTCACAGATCTTTAAGAATGCGTGCCCGCGAGCGTATAGCTACGCTTTTGATGATGCCACTTCTACCTTCACTTGCAACACAGGGGTCAATTACCTCATTACCTTCTGCCCCAGTTCGTCTAGGTATTGAAACAAGCTTTTCTCTTCTTCTTCGTCTAGTTCTGCTTTTCAATCATATATTTCTTCTTCTTTACATGAGAAATTATTAGAATTTAGCTAGGGATTCGTGATTTTTTTTTTCGCTTTCATGAAAGCTTCAATATTTGAATGGATTTCATTTAAAAAATCAAATTTTTTTCATGTTTGAAGGTCGATTGGACTAAATTTTAGCTAAAACTTCAACTTTTACTCTCTTTTTTTTTTCCGTGTTTCCGCTTTTAATTCGGTAGATCTAGCTTTTCAGCTGGGTTACCAGATTCCATCGACTGTTATATTTTCGCCTAGAAATTTCACATTTTTATCGGTGTAAGTGAGCATTTGAGCCTTTTCTTGCAAGACCAGTCATGATTTTACTTCATCCAAGGAATTTTCAAGCTTTTGTACAAATTTTAAGCTCTTTTCTTTTCCAAAAACGATTTTTTTTTCCTGATTGGAACCTGATTGGAATGAATTGATTGCAGCCAGAAGGCACTTACAAACGACCCTCTCGCTACGGGGGTGCCGCTGATCAACGACACGATGGTGTTTTTGGGCGCGGTCACCAGCGGTGCGGTGCCGCCAGCAAAACCATTTTCCGCGTTGGTAACAGTCGCCGGGCTTGCCGCGTTGTGGCCGGTGCTGCGGCAGGGCCTGCTAGTCTAAGCCAAATATTCATCTACCCGTCTGTTGTGCGTTATGAACTCACTCTCTTCCGCTAAAGTGCACACCGGCTCACGCGCTCTCTCGCTTTGCAGCCTTCAAAAGCTACAGCTATTCTGACGTTTGGAGTAGCTATGGGCTATAGACGAAGCTCTGCTCTTTTGGGAGAAGAAGCGCGAGCTTTCCCGATCAATATTACATATTTAATAATTTTATTTTTTATTAATTTTTCTTTTGCAATATATTATTCCATAATAATAAAAAAAATAGTTTTTACGTTCCCTTACTACTCTTTCATGTAGTTCAGCACCTTATCCTGCCTATTCACCTTTTTTTTTAGCTGAGTTTTGAAATTTAAAGTCTATTTGTGACACCTTTTACTATTTCATTTAGTTTAGCACCTTATCCTGCCTATTAACCTTTTTTTTTAACTGAGTTCTGAAATTTAAAGTCTATTTGTGACACCTTTAATTTGTTGTTAAATTGCTGAAAAATTGTTGCTCAAAAAATTGTGATGATTATTATAAATTATTTGAAAAAATTAGAAAGATGTCACCGCATCTAATCAGGAACAATGCTATTTCAACTATTTGAAAATTCAGCTTTTGAAATAAGTTAGTTAAATATTAAATTTAAATTAGTTTATTTTTTGACATTTTGATATTATAATCGAAATTTAGTAATGGAAAAATTGCCATGCAGGGTAAAGGCTGTAGGGGCTGTACAAGATATGGTAATATCTGAAGTTTGCACTAGAAAATTACTCTTTGTGCTTCATTCTGACGGGATCATGCGTTCATGGGATCTTTTTAGTCATGCAAGGGTGCTTAATCATAGTTTGAGCTCAAGTGAACTGACAGGCAAAGTTTTATCAACTTTTTTTCCCCATAACATTTTATGCAAGTTTTTAGCATCTTCATTTATAAATTGAAACTTTTGGGTTACCTATTGGCCAGTTTTCCTTGATCCTCTCAACATAATTCTCTTTTCTTATTGTAATTGGACTCTTACTTTTAATTTGAAATTGTAATTTATTTATAAATTCCTCTCTTGAAGGCTAAACTTATAAATTTTGGTAAGAGTCTTCTGGATAATTGCCCTCTCATTTTATATTTTCCGTCCTACAAATACAATCATTTATAGTGCAGTGATAACTTACAAATAAATTAACACGTTGGACTTGAATGGTGATTTTGATCTTAATTGCATAAAAACTAGTGTATTTTTTTTAGCCATGTTAGATAGCTTGTCCATTAGATGTGACCGTCGCATAAGATGGTTCCTTTTTCTCATTAGACCATTTACTTAATTTATTTGGCATAACCTGTCTAAATGGTGTCCAAACTTTTGATGAGGGTGGCATATTTGTTTTTGATCACAAATTGTCCGATTTTAAATGAAGTTGAAGCTGATATACTACTTCAAGTCGTGAGTTATACCTTTATAAAAGGATTAGAACAATTAGAATCCCTTTTTATCACGTTGGACTTGAATGGTGATTTTGATCTTAATTGCATAAAAACTAGTGTATTTTTTTTAGCCATGTTAGATAGCTTGTCCATTAGATGTGACCGTCGCATAAGATGGTTCCTTTTTCTCATTAGACCATTTACTTAATTTATTTGGCATAACCTGTCTAAATGGTGTCCAAACTTTTGATGAGGGTGGCATATTTGTTTTTGATCACAAATTGTCCGATTTTAAATGAAGTTGAAGCTGATATACTACTTCAAGTCGTGAGTTATACCTTTATAAAAGGATTAGAACAATTAGAATCCCTTTTTATCTCCTCCTTTGAAATATATTCATGAAAAAGAGATGTTCTTTTTTAATTATCAAGATTGTCCGAAAATAATGATTGGCCTCCTTGGAATTGGGCTTTCTTGTATTAGTTTAGTGCTTAGTTATTAAACTATGGTATGAGTACAATATAGAGTACCATACGAGCTTGCATTATTTGTCTTTCTTAATAGAAGTTTGGTCTAACAGTAGTGAAAAATTACCTGGTCAATAAATGGTATGCATAAACATACATGTATGCAGCTCTCCCTATAAAATTTGAGCTAAAAATACATTTGGCACCATTTTTGGAGATCAAGAAGGGCGGCAATAATCAAACTTGATGTGGCGTTTTGTTGGACTGGTCACTGGAGAACACAAAAGTTGAAAAGGTGAATAACAGCGGTTGGAGGAAGAATACTAGATGTGGAAGGTCGAACTAGGTGAAGTTCTCACATGAAAGAAGACACCAACACTTGCATTCAATCAAGATACAATAATGCACCACTTGAAAGAAGAATATACAATACTCCAATCTCAAAAAAAACACAGGCTTCTATTTTAGAATTTATTCAACTTTAAAAGAAGGAACCCTTAATACAAGTCTAAATCAATATTTATACACCAGAGAAAAGATTAGACCTCTAGGATAAACCAGCCTCTAAACATAGACCCTGGACCAAATTGGTTCAAAAATAATGGGGACCCAACCTAGGTGTAGCTGTTGGACCGACCAAATGTCACAGTTTGGCGACTTGGGGAAAATGGATGCTCCGTTGTCAATAAAGAAATCTTCTATCTTTCTCTCCCTCTCTTTATACATACATACATACATATATATGTATGTATGTATGTATGACCAACTGATCTGAGTGCACTATATATATATATATATAAATATATGTATATATGTATGTATGTATGTATGTATGTTAAAGGTGATGACCGAAGCTAATAAATGAGCCCCG